GTGGGGGCAGTCAGAGGGCTGAGCAGGCTCTTGCTGCAGGTTGAAGGTAGCTCTTGGGGCGTGGAGCACGTGCGGACTAGGGTGAGGCAAGGACACCTTGTCCTCCCTTGAAGGTGTGAGCTAGTGTTTGTATCTAGCGTTGCTATGGTGAGGGTGGGCGGGGCTTAGTTTGACAGCCGGGAGCTCTTGCAATGGCAAGAATCCCTCAGCCCATGGCCCCGCCCCTGAGCTGTCAGAGTTCTGTCTTCTGTCCTGCCTGGGCCTGGCCAGTCAGAAGGGGAACTGCTGGGGGGCAAGTTTCTTTTTTCTTTTTTTTTTTTTTTTAAAGAGAGAGTGGGGGAGAGAGAGAGAGAGAGAGAGAGAGAGAATTTTTTTTTTAATATTTATTTTTTAGTTCTGGGCTGACACAACATCTTTGTTTGTACGTGGTGCTGAGGATCGAACCCGGGCCGCATGCATGCCAGGGGAGCGCGCTACCGCTTGAGCCACATCCCCAGCCCCGATGCGGGGGGCAGAAGGCCTTCTTCGGCTGCTCACGCAGCTTCAGGCGAAGTGGCTGTCAGACCTGTTGCCAGGGCGCGGCTGAGGAAGGAATGAGTGGAGAACAGGCGAGCACGTGAGGAAAACCGTCAATACTGGGCAAGAGGCAGGCTTGCGCCAGCAAAGGACGAGCGCGTGCAAATTCCGCGTGCGTGTGCAAAGTCAGCATGCACGTGCAAAGTCTGCATGCACGTGCAAAGTCTGCATGCACGTGCAAAGTCCGCGTGCTTGCACCAGATGCAGAAGAAATAGGCAAGGGAACTGCGTGCCTGGTGCGTGCGTGGGTCCTGGGGGACTGTTGAGTGCTGACACTGGGATGTGATTCAGATCCCGCTGGTCCACCTCCTGACCCAGTGAGGTTTCCGGATCATCTCGGAAGGGTTGTAGATGCTGGGTTTGAGGGGTGGCAGCTATGGCAAGGCCAGGGATCTCTCCCCTCAGACTGGTGCAACGACCCTGCCCCTCCCCAGAGGCAGCCAGGATGGCAGCACAGATGGGCTGAACTCCGATGGACGTGGGGGCAGTCAGAGGGCTGAGCAGGCTCTTGCTGCAGGTTGAAGGTAGCTCTTGGGGCGTGGAGCACGTGCGGACTAGGGTGAGGCAAGGACACCTTGTCCTCCCTTGAAGGTGTGAGCTAGTGTTTGTATCTAGCGTTGCTATGGTGAGGGTGGGCGGGGCTTAGTTTGACAGCCGGGAGCTCTTGCAATGGCAAGAATCCCTCAGCCCATGGCCCCGCCCCTGAGCTGTCAGAGTTCTGTCTTCTGTCCTGCCTGGGCCTGGCCAGTCAGAAGGGGAACTGCTGGGGGGCAAGTTTCTTTCTTTTTTTTTTTTTTTTTAAAGAGAGAGTGGGGGAGAGAGAGAGAGAGAGAGAGAGAGAGAGAATTTTTTTTTTAATATTTATTTTTTAGTTCTGGGCTGACACAACATCTTTGTTTGTACGTGGTGCTGAGGATCGAACCCGGGCCGCACGCATGCCAGGGGAGCGCGCTACCGCTTGAGCCACATCCCCAGCCCCGATGGGGGGGGCAGAAGGCCTTCTTCGGCTGCTCACGCAGCTTCAGGCGAAGTGGCTGTCAGACCTGTTGCCAGGGCGCGGCTGAGGAAGGAATGAGTGGAGAACAGGCGAGCACGTGAGGAAAACCGTCAATACTGGGCAAGAGGCAGGCTTGCGCCAGCAAAGGACGCGCGCGTGCAAATTCCGCGTGCGTGTGCAAAGTCAGCATGCACGTGCAAAGTCTGCATGCACGTGCAAAGTCTGCATGCACGTGCAAAGTCCGCGTGCTTGCACCAGATGCAGAAGAAATAGGCAAGGGAACTGCGTGCCTGGTGCGTGCGTGGGTCCTGGGGGACTGTTGAGTGCTGACACTGGGATGTGATTCAGATCCCGCTGGTCCACCTCCTGACCCAGTGAGGTTTCCGGATCATCTCGGAAGGGTTGTAGATGCTGGGTTTGAGGGGTGGCAGCTATGGCAAGGCCAGGGATCTCTCCCCTCAGACTGGTGCAACGACCCTGCCCCTCCCCAGAGGCAGCCAGGATGGCAGCACAGATGGGCTGAACTCCGATGGACGTGGGGGCAGTCAGAGGGCTGAGCAGGCTCTTGCTGCAGGTTGAAGGTAGCTCTTGGGGCGTGGAGCACGTGCGGACTAGGGTGAGGCAAGGACACCTTGTCCTCCCTTGAAGGTGTGAGCTAGTGTTTGTATCTAGCGTTGCTATGGTGAGGGTGGGCGGGGCTTAGTTTGACAGCCGGGAGCTCTTGCAATGGCAAGAATCCCTCAGCCCATGGCCCCGCCCCTGAGCTGTCAGAGTTCTGTCTTCTGTCCTGCCTGGGCCTGGCCAGTCAGAAGGGGAACTGCTGGGGGGCAAGTTTTTTTTTTTTTTTTTTTTTTTTTTTTAAAGAGAGAGTGGGGGGGAGAGAGAGAGAGAGAGAGAATTTTTTTTTTAATATTTATTTTTTAGTTCTGGGCTGACACAACATCTTTGTTTGTACGTGGTGCTGAGGATCGAACCCGGGCCGCACGCATGCCAGGGGAGCGCGCTACCGCTTGAGCCACATCCCCAGCCCCGATGGGGGGGGGGGGCAGAAGGCCTTCTTCGGCTGCTCACGCAGCTTCAGGCGAAGTGGCTGTCAGACCTGTTGCCAGGGCGCGGCTGAGGAAGGAATGAGTGGAGAACAGGCGAGCACGTGAGGAAAACCGTCAATACTGGGCAAGAGGCAGGCTTGCGCCAGCAAAGGACGCGCGCGTGCAAATTCCGCGTGCGTGTGCAAAGTCAGCATGCACGTGCAAAGTCTGCATGCACGTGCAAAGTCTGCATGCACGTGCAAAGTCCGCGTGCTTGCACCAGATGCAGAAGAAATAGGCAAGGGAACTGCGTGCCTGGTGCGTGCGTGGGTCCTGGGGGACTGTTGAGTGCTGACACTTGGATGTGATTCAGATCCCGCTGGTCCACCTCCTGACCCAGTGAGGTTTCCGGATCATCTCGGAAGGGTTGTAGATGCTGGGTTTGAGGGGTGGCAGCTATGGCAAGGCCAGGGATCTCTCCCCTCAGACTGGTGCAACGACCCTGCCCCTCCCCAGAGGCAGCCAGGATGGCAGCACAGATGGGCTGAACTCCGATGGACGTGGGGGCAGTCAGAGGGCTGAGCAGGCTCTTGCTGCAGGTTGAAGGTAGCTCTTGGGGCGTGGAGCACGTGCGGACTAGGGTGAGGCAAGGACACCTTGTCCTCCCTTGAAGGTGTGAGCTAGTGTTTGTATCTAGCGTTGCTATGGTGAGGGTGGGCGGGGCTTAGTTTGACAGCCGGGAGCTCTTGCAATGGCAAGAATCCCTCAGCCCATGGCCCCGCCCCTGAGCTGTCAGAGTTCTGTCTTCTGTCCTGCCTGGGCCTGGCCAGTCAGAAGGGGAACTGCTGGGGGGCAAGTTTCTTTCTTCTTTTTTTTTTTTTTTAAAGAGAGAGTGGGGGGGGGAGAGAGAGAGAGAGAGAATTTTTTTTTTATATTTATTTTTTAGTTCTGGGCTGACACAACATCTTTGTTTGTACGTGGTGCTGAGGATCGAACCCGGGCCGCACGCATGCCAGGGGAGCGCGCTACCGCTTGAGCCACATCCCCAGCCCCGATGGGGGGGCAGAAGGCCTTCTTCGGCTGCTCACGCAGCTTCAGGCGAAGTGGCTGTCAGACCTGTTGCCAGGGCGCGGCTGAGGAAGGAATGAGTGGAGAACAGGCGAGCACGTGAGGAAAACCGTCAATACTGGGCAAGAGGCAGGCTTGCGCCAGCAAAGGACGCGCGCGTGCAAATTCCGCGTGCGTGTGCAAAGTCAGCATGCACGTGCAAAGTCTGCATGCACGTGCAAAGTCTGCATGCACGTGCAAAGTCCGCGTGCTTGCACCAGATGCAGAAGAAATAGGCAAGGGAACTGCGTGCCTGGTGCGTGCGTGGGTCCTGGGGGACTGTTGAGTGCTGACACTTGGATGTGATTCAGATCCCGCTGGTCCACCTCCTGACCCAGTGAGGTTTCCGGATCATCTCGGAAGGGTTGTAGATGCTGGGTTTGAGGGGTGGCAGCTATGGCAAGGCCAGGGATCTCTCCCCTCAGACTGGTGCAACGACCCTGCCCCTCCCCAGAGGCAGCCAGGATGGCAGCACAGATGGGCTGAACTCCGATGGACGTGGGGGCAGTCAGAGGGCTGAGCAGGCTCTTGCTGCAGGTTGAAGGTAGCTCTTGGGGCGTGGAGCACGTGCGGACTAGGGTGAGGCAAGGACACCTTGTCCTCCCTTGAAGGTGTGAGCTAGTGTTTGTATCTAGCGTTGCTATGGTGAGGGTGGGCGGGGCTTAGTTTGACAGCCGGGAGCTCTTGCAATGGCAAGAATCCCTCAGCCCATGGCCCCGCCCCTGAGCTGTCAGAGTTCTGTCTTCTGTCCTGCCTGGGCCTGGCCAGTCAGAAGGGGAACTGCTGGGGGGCAAGTTTCTTTTTTTTTTTTTTTTTTTTTTTTTTTAAAGAGAGAGTGGGGGAGAGAGAGAGAGAGAGAGAGAATTTTTTTTTTAATATTTATTTTTTAGTTCTGGGCTGACACAACATCTTTGTTTGTACGTGGTGCTGAGGATCGAACCCGGGCCGCACGCATGCCAGGGGAGCGCGCTACCGCTTGAGCCACATCCCCAGCCCCGATGGGGGGTCAGAAGGCCTTCTTTGGCTGCTCACGCAGCTTCAGGCGAAGTGGCTGTCAGACCTGTTGCCAGGGCGCGGCTGAGGAAGGAATGAGTGGAGAACAGGCGAGCACGTAGCTCAACTACACATGGATATTTAGCACATAATAAAAGTGACATATTAAATCAGTGAACTTTTCAAATAAATGGTGTTGCAACCAATGATAGGCTCTTGGAGAAAGATAAAACTGTATCCATACAAGAAACAATTTAAAAACTCTGAATTACTCAGAGAACAAAATGTAAAAATATGAAGCTATATAACTGTTAAAAGGAAATTTGGAAATATTCTTTTTATAAATTAAATACAGGAAAAATCTTTCTAATTGTGGTTCAAAAATTAAAAGAAAATAAAAGAAAGGACATATTTTTTTATTTATATAGTAATGGGTATGGAACCTAGGGCTTTGCATATTCTAGACAAGTTCTTTCCCACTGAACTTTAGCTCCAGTCCCAGGATGTATAAAGTTAACTACTTAAAATTTATGAACAAAAGCTTTAGTACTGCAAATATCAAAAGATCTCTGGAAAGCCAAAAGGCAAATTAAAAACTTGAAGAATATATTTGTACTATGCACTGCTTAAATATGAAGAAATAAAAATTAAGACACAGAGATTAAAATACTGGTATAAAAATAGTAGGCTTGCACAGAAAAAAAAGTAAACAAAAGTATTTGAAGCATGTGTTAGAAAGCAAATTACAACTACACTGAAACTAGCACTTCATACTTATTAGGTAAGTAATAATCATCAAAGATATAGTGAAATTGACAACCCATGCATTGCTGGTGACAGGTGAAAGCTGTCCTGCTATAAAAAGTGTTGGCAATATCCAACAAAATGGCATATGCATTGACCCTTTAATCTACCAACCTCACTCCTAAAAATTTACTCCACAGAGGAGATCATGTGTGAACAAGTTAATTTAGTGTTTCATTATTGCATGATATTAAGTAGAAAAAATGTTGAGAAAAACTGCAATACCCACTGTTTTAGTTAGCTTTTGTACTGCTGTGAAGAAAAGACCTGAAAAGAACAACATGGAGGAGAAAACTTATTTGGCCCATGGTTTCAGAGGTTCCATCCATGGTTGACTGACTCCATAGCTCTGGGCCCAAGGCAAGTAGATCACCATGGTGGAAGGGTGTGGCAGAGGAATGTAGTTCAGGACATGATATCCAGGAAGCATATAAGAGTTCTTCTATCATTTGTCATTTGTAGTCCTATGAATGTCATTAAAGTCCTTCCTGACATTATAAATATAGATACACACATCAGTATAGATATAAAACTTTACAGAATTAGAATTTTTGTCTTATAATCTTTTTCACACATAATCTATGGTGGACAGTTTCCTATATCACTGAGCAGTCTCATAAAATATTATCTTTAGTGGCTACTAAAAATCACCATATGCTTGAAATGATATTTACTAAAACAATTTTTTACTTGGGGACAGACCATTCAGGCGGCCTGGCCTGCTATCTATCTTCTCAAGCAAACTACTTGGAGTTTCCTCTTAAGAAAATTTGAATAGGCCCAGAAAAAATAATTACATGTTATGGATTTCATGGTCACTCAGTAAAGGAGACAGACCTTGTAGTATTAGCCCAAATCCTATAAAATCCCATCTTTGAATTCCTAGCTATTTTATAATCCCTTTTAAAAGCTACCTATGGTAAGCCCCAGGCCAACATCATTCTAAATGGAAAAAATAAATGAAAGCATTCCCTCTAAAAACTGGAACAAGTCAGGGATGCTCTCTTTCACCTTTCATCACTTCTATTTAACATAGTTCTTAAAACACTGGCAGAGCAATTAGACAGATAAAAGAAATTAAAGAATTTGAATAGGTAAAGAAGAACTCTAATTAGCACTATTTGCCAACAATAGGATTATATACCTGGAAGACCCAAAAAATTCCTCCAGAGAACTTCTAGAACTAGTAAATGAATTCAGCAAAGTAGCAGGATACAAAATCAACACCCATAAATCAAAGGCATTTCTGTATATCAGTGGCAAAGCCTCTGAAAGGGAAATGAGGAAAACTACCCCAATCTTAATAGCCTCAAAAAATAAAATAAAATACTTGGGAATCAACAAAATAGGTTAAAGATCTATACAATGAAAACTACAGAACCCTAAAGGAAAAAAAAAATCAAAGAAGACCTCAGTAGATGGAAAGACATAGACCCAGCTATCCCTCTCCTCAGTCTATATGCAAAGGACTTAAAAACAGCATACTACAGGGACACAGCCACATCAATGTTTATAGCAGCACAATTCACAATAGCTAAATTGTGGAACCAACCTAGATGCCCTTCAGTAGATTAATGGATAAAGAAAATGTGGTATATATACACAATGGAATATTATTCAGCATTAAAAGAGAATAAAATCATGGCATTTGAAGCTAAATGGATAGAGATGGAGAATATAATGCTAAGTTAGTCAATCCCCCAAAAAAACAAATGCTGAATGTTTTCTCTGATTTAAGGATGCTGATTCATAATGGGGTTGGTGGGGGGCATGGGAGGATTAGATGAACTCTAAATCGGGAAAACAGGAGGGAGGGGTAAGGAGGGGGCTTTGGGAGGTAGGAAAGATGGTGGATTGAGGTGGACATCATTACTCCATACCTTACAAGTATGAAAACATGAATGGTGTGACTCTGTCTACAACCAGAGATATGAAAAATTATGCTCTATATGGATAATATGAATTGTAATGCATTCTGCTGTCATATATAACAAACTAAAATTTTAAAAATTGTAAAATAATATCGAGAAACAGAATATTTTTAAGGGAGTAAGAAGGATGAAGAAAACAAAACAAAACAAAACTTAGATAAAACAAACAATCAGAAATTGAAGGCAGCTTTAAATATATTTACATAAAGCAAAACAAAGCCAAATATTTTTTTTTATTATTTTCACAGAGATTGGAGAAGTCAGCCTTCCTTAGATGGAACAGAAAATCCCTTTTGAAAATTAACAACACATGAAAATATTTACTACAATGTAATGTATTTATCCTATGCTTTCACAATATTGATTAATTTTTTTAATTTTATGAAGAGTTTGAGCAAAAATTATTATAAATCTATAGACTGTATCTCCATTGAAGTTTATGATCTCTTTCATTAATTTGTATAATTTGTTGTTTTTTTCAGTAAAATATCATTTTTACTATCTCTTGATTATATGCATTTCTTATAAAAATTATTCTTTGTTATTTTCTATAATTCTTTTTTTTCAGATTTGGAACTGTCTTTATTCACAGGTGACTTGACAGTATTTGCAGAAAATATCAGATCAAGAAATCCATAAAAGAACTGTTAGAATAAAACACATTTAAAGTTTGTAAGATCAAAATCTGTATATATATATATATATATATATATATATATATGTATATATATATAAACTATATTTCTACACTGTAGTAAGAAGGAATTTTAAAAAGAAATGGATTATAATGATTATATTCACAATAACCTCAAAAACAAAACAACAGAGATTAAGAAAAATATTCTAAATCTTCTATTATTCTTTATCTTAAAGGAATTTTTTCTCCTAAAACTCTGAGTGTGCCTTATTGGCAGTGTATTCTGTCAGAGACAACTGATGCTGCCCTCTCTCCTTTGCCTTATTAGCTGGAAAGAAAAGCATTGAATTATGGGTCATAGTTTCCTGTGATTTATGGAAAGATTTATGTCATCATTATTCCTCTTTAACCACAACCCTAACCAAATAACCACTTCCTATGCTCAGGCAGCTTCTCGTTTCTACAAACATGCCCTTCCATGCCTGCTGCCTGTTCATATCTGTCCGTGGAATAAACCATTGATTGGGTTAAAGCTCTCAGAACTGAATCATTTCACTGATAATCCTTGTATTGGCTCGCCCATGAGCTTCTGGGGACACCTACTACCTAAAGCACAACACATCTTCATCGAATAGCTTAGCAAGACCTTCTAGATGACTTGCAAGAGCTTCTACATCAGCACTTGTTTCTTTGCCTTGCACTTTTATTTTGTGGAGAGGGGCCTCTTGCCAAAAACATAATGGACCAAACTCTGGCACCTTCAAACTTCTTCTGCAGCTTTCTCACTTCTCTTGTCAGTATAACAATCTAAAGTGATGGCCTTATCTGGATTTGGCTTCATCTTCATAGAACGTGGGTTGTTTCTTCTTTTCTTCAGAATATAAAAAGTTTTTCCAGATCAGCAATAAGGCTGTTCTTGCTTTCTAGTCATATACATATGCCCTGGAGCAGCACTTTAATTTCCTTCTTGAACATTTCCTTTGCATTCTCAGTGTGACAAAGTAGTGTAAGAGTCACAGCTTTTTATTTGAAGTGCAAAACGTAAGAAGACTCTTCTTTTTATTTAAACAATACAGACCATTACTGAGTCATTAACGGTTCCATAACCTCTTTGTAGTCACAGCATCCACCTGAGGTCGAAGTTCATCATGGTAGCAGAGCTGAGCAAGACTGAGGATAGTGCATGGACTTCATATTAAAAAAATAGGAATTTGGGGCAGGGGTTGTGGCTCAGTGGTAGAGCACTTGCCTGGCACATATGAGGCACTAGATTTGATCCTCAGCATCACATAAAAATAAATAAACAAAATGAAGGTATTGAGTCCATCTACAACCAAAAAGTGCATTTAAAAAAAGATAGGGATTTAAGTTCTCTCTCATTTATCAGCTACATAGCTTTGGACAATTGGTGTACATAGTTTTAGCACAGTGTTCTTATCTTTAAAACAGAAATGGTAAGTCTTACCTTATAATTAGCAGACCAAACACTTTTTGCTATTTGATCTATTATTATTTGATAAAAAATTTTGTTTAGCAGCCTGGCATAAAAACCATAAAGAAAATGATAATGAAGTAAATGTAACCTAAATCATATGTAAACTATGCATTCAATTAGTTGGCATAAGGTATTCATAAATCTCCTTTCATCATTTTGCTGTGTGTAGGATCTGTATTGA